TGGATGCGACTCTGGCGTCCCTTAAGACCTGGTTGCGTTTGGGGCCAGTCTTCTCCACTTCCTCCTTCCTGACTGCTCTCCTTCTTTCCCTACGTGGAATTTGATTTTAAATGTTGCTATCAACTCAATGCATCCCTCTAAGCACGTTAAAGCGCCAAAGCACCCAACTTCCACACCACAAATATGCAATGCCTTTTCTCTGTCTCAGGAGTGGACCCCTTTACTTCAATCACTTTCTTACCTTTTTCCTCAACACATTTAGCCTTGCATCGCGACCAATGCTTACAGCCGGTGGCACTAACCTCACTACCCTCCATCGAACTGCCGCTCAAGCCATTCGGTATTGTGCATGAGTGGTCACACTTATCCATTGCCTTTGTTCATGCACTCTACCAAGATGAAGATCGAAGAATTCTGTGCTTTCGCCTTCCCCACTTTTATCGCACAAACGCCGTTGCAGGAGCAATCCGCATTTCAATTGCCAGCACCAACGAATGCCCTTTGCACGCTTGCGTCGATGTCTTTGCAAAGGCGTTGCAGCCAATTTCATGGTAAAGTAAATGAACATAACCTCAACCACTGCTCAACGGTTGTGATGGGAACGTTGTGCGCTTTTGGAGAGATGACTTCATGCGACTATCGCAGCATCACCTACACAGCATCTGACTTTCCTTATTGCAGTCGTCAAGCGCTGCACCAATGGAAGTGTCAAGTAAGGTGCATTGCCACGTGAGTCACCCCTCTGAGCCTGGGTGACACCAACAGATTCCTCCTGTTGCTCGAACAATGGCGTTGGTGATTGTGGTGCAGGAACTTGGTGGTAGCTGTTGCGATGCAGCTGTCAAGTGGTGATATCGCTTCCTCCTCCTTATGCCATACTGTTGCAAGGCACTGTCAACCACCACAACCACCACCACCACCACTGCCGCCGCCTCCGCCTCCGCCTCCTCCTCCCCTTCTTCCATTGAGCTACTTCTTACTGTACTTTGGCTAAATGTGTGCGCGGCAAATCCATTTTATTCAACATTACAAACTCCACCTGCTAAGCAAGAACTTTCCCATAAGGGACTGACAAAGGACATGCAAGACTTTAATAGTACTCGAGCACAGCAGTAAACAAAAAACCGCAATTCGTCCCTTCAAGCCAAATCCTTAAGTTCCAGTTGGCTCCAGTGCCATCATTGCACATTGATGACCATCATTGGGTAGAACTCCATCAAATGTTGAATAGGCAAGAAGTGAGATCATGACCTTGCCATCACTACCACTAAGTCACAATCCCACACTCCTTCCTGAGGCCTTCAGCACTAGCATCTTATGCCTCCGGCTTAGTCCTTTATCAAGATCAGTTTGAAGCTATTGCAAGTCGCAATCTAGTTCCGTCAGTGCTAATACCAGTTGCAGTTGGTCTCTGTGAAGGCTTGGATGACCCTACTGACCATCAAACCGCCATACGCCTCAACGCATAACTAATAGCACAGATACTGTATCATTAGTGGGGATGGCACAGGCTGTGATGGCTCGAGCACGTGCATCGTTGGTGTGCACGTGACATGCAATCATCCGCATTGAGTTGCATTTTTGTTGAATGGTGGGTGAATGCTTGCAAACACTCCACATCCACCCTGGGATATGCTTCTCCCTATGATTTTCGCAGCACTTCTACCTGCCTATGGTGCAAAGTAGTAAACCATTTACTCCACGTGGCCTCAACTTCACGCACTGATGCAAACTTTCTATTGGCTAAGCCGCAGCTCGACTGCTTTACACATCTCATTGGCTCGTCACTGCCAACTGCCCTGTTTATTGGTCAGCTTATTCCTCCACCTATCTCAACCAGTTGTTGCATCCTATACAATTGAATCTCGCGCTAACGTGGCGGTAGAGGCATTTACCCCTGAACCAAGCCATGCTACATAAAGAAGGTTGTAGTGTCCCGAGACTTCCTGACCGGTATAAGAAGTCAGTAAGTGCGGCTGGATACATGCATTCTGAAGATGACAGGACAAATGGGCCTGGACAAGACCCGAAGGCCAATCCATGTGAACAAGGACCGGACAAATCCTAAAGTGACCGTCAAACCTCGGCTAGTCACATAAGCAAAGCATTACAAATGCCACCAAAAGTTGAAGGAATGTCCTATCCTCATTCCCTCCCAATGCATTCCCCTATGCCCATAGCTCTTCCAGCGCATGCGCGGCATTAACACCTGGAAACAAATTGTTGCCAGCCAACTTCCGATTTTACAAGCATGGCATCATGGCTGACTTTGTCTTCAACGTC